AATAAGTGTGTTGATACCCTAGGACGAAGCTGATAGCCTTGGAGTGAAATTTGACTTCAAACTGACCATGAAGAACAGGGTTGTAAATCTTGCAAACAAGATGGCCAGGAAGCTTACAGCATTTCGACTTATCTCGCATCTGCTCGACAACAAGAGGTTGCAAGATTCTGTACAAGGCACAAGTACACGTACATGTAACCTTGAGTATGCTCCACTTTCTTGAACTACCTGCCCTCCTCCTCATCTGCGACTTCTTGAGAGAATAGAGAGCAGATCAAGATGACTCATTTCTCGCCTGGACCCAGCCTGGATTGATCTGTCATTTCAGCAGAGTTTTTAACACCAGATGGATATGTAGGTGGCCTTTCTGTTTTGTACAAGGCTAATATTGTCCAAGTACCACACTTAGCTCCACTTCGAGGACAGCGAGAAGAGCGCTTCTACACCACAAGACGGGCAGCAAGCAGCAACTTCACTCAAACTGTGCCCTTCTCCAGAACATTTCATCTGAGGTCATTTATTCCTAGGATGACTCAAGTCTGGAACATGTTCGTACAGCATATCAACGACATTAAAACTAGCACATCAAGTGAAATTTCGGCCCACAAATGGCTCCAATTTCATCCTGTCCGATATATCTACGTTTCATAGCACCATAAAGGCTTGCAAATGAGCTAATGTAGGTAACAGCTCTTACCATGTAAATAAAGTCAGGAATCCTTAACCTAACCTTGTAAAACCTTGTGTGTAAAGAGGGAGGGAGGGTGGCAGAGGGGCATTATGGTGACATAACAGCACCACCAGTGAGTGGAAGTAACCACCACCACTTGTATAACTACAGCATCTTGAAGAACAAAAAGGCACAATACCGAAACTGGAACAATACACAACCAACCCATACATGAGGGTGGGAGGGAGGAGTGGGAGGGAGAAGTGGAAAGAAGGAGTGGAAGGAAGGGGCGGAACTAGTGGAAGGAAGGAGTGGGAGTAAGGGGGAGGAAAAAGGGGTGGGATGAAGGGGAGGAATGGACGGTAAGAAGGGAGAAAGAGGGAGGGAGGTAGGGAGGAGGGAGGTAGGGAGAGGGGAGGTAGGGAGAGGAGAGGAAGGAGTGGGAGTAAGTGGGGGAGGAAGGGGTGGGATGGACGGTAAGAAAGAAGAGAGAGTGAGGGATAGAAGAGAGGGAGCGATGGAAAAGAGGGAGCGGCGAAAGAGAGAATAGATGACCCCTCCAACAGCAGGATATAGTCATAAGAGCGGCTATGAAGGAAGGAAGCGTTAAGGATGGTATAGTGGGCAATGCTGTCAAGATTTCCCACAAGCTGAGGCCAACCCGGAGGTGTGTGTAATGGGGTGTAGGAGCCACGAGAGCTTATTAAGAGGACACCGAGCACAAGTGGTGAAGGGTGGACCACCGTGCAACACTGTGCACCACACTTACACAATGGTGACATGTCTCTTCAGGAAGGTGTAACCATGTGAGCATGGGCGTCGTAAGGGGGGTTGGCCGCCCCGGGTGACACCATAGAGCCTCAAAAAGAAGGTAACACTAATGACCAAAACCATGCTGCAGCAACCTAAGAGAAAAATCCTTTGTTTCTATATGGCCTATTATAGGATTACAGAATGCAAATAGGCCTATATAGGGAAAATAATTGATTTTGATGGTGTGATAGATGATTTTGCAGGATTGAAGGCAAGGAAATGAAATATCAGATTCTTCGAGATGTTACCTGTACTTAAGGTTAAATCGGAACTAGTTTTTTCTTTATTTTTCACGTTTTTTTTTTTGTTTCATTGTTGAAGATGAATAATGTAGGATCTGTTGCCTGTACTCAAAGTGGTATTTGATATACCTTTGAAGAATTTCGAGAGTATATTTACTCTCTGAGCCCGGCCATGGGCCAGGCTCGTCTGGTGCTCGCCTGGTAAACCAGGCTGTTGCTGCTGGAGGCCCGCTGCCCCACATATCCATCACAGCCTGGTTGATCTGGCACCTGGTGAAGATACTTGTCTAGTTTCCTCTTGAAGGCTTCAACACTTGTTCCAGCAGTGTTTCTGATATCTTCTGGTAAGATGTTGAAAAGTCTGGGACCCCGGATGTTGATACCGTGTTCCCTTATTGTCCCCATTGCACCCCTGCTCCTCACTGGGTTTATTTTACACTTCCTCCCATATCTCTCACTCCAGTATGTTGTTATGGCAGTGTGCAGATATGGGACCAAGCCCTCAAGTTTATATTTCCTCAATATTACTACGATTATTTATTTTATCATTAATAAAGTTCGGTTTATGGCCTTTAAACGCTCTCATTGCTAAACTTTTTAGCAATGGTCATGGTCACTGGTCATGCAGCAGTGATGTAACTAGAGTTTACTACCCCTATCCCCCCGCCCTTGGATTTCATGGGGGTGACACCGAACATTCCGCCCCGGGTGACACCAACCCTAGGGACGCCTCTGGCTCCCAACCCTATGTTTCATCACAATCTTGATTTGTTGTTGGCTTATTTGTCAGGAAGGATCACGTAAGAGACGTCTCCGTTATAAGACAGCACAGCCAATTAATAACGGTCGGTATTTTACTATTGGGGAGTCACATTACTGAAAACCTTCCAAAAGTGACATTGACTATTTGTAAACAGTCTGAATTTCGACTGTTTATGAAGACGGGTTTCTTAAGATGATGGACCTCTAGTGACGGTTTCGATTTTCTACTCCAGGAGCCCGGGAGTAGAAAATTTTGAATAGAATTGTATTCTATTCAAGATTGATGGACTGACCACATCGACTAAGGTTGAGGGACTGATTACCTCATTCTCCTCCTGTTCTTCAAGATTCTCCTTTGTATGGACTGACGAAGCCACTGTGTGGCGAAACGTTTCCCCAATAAAGATACCCAAGAGTTGCACATGTGTCTAATTTATCAACATATCCATGACAGCCTGGTTGATCTGATACCTGGTGGGGATACTTGTCCAGTTTCCTTTTGAAGACTTCTACACTTGTTCCAGCAGTGTTTCTGATATCTTCTGGTAAGACGTTTAATAGTCTGGGACCATGTATGTTATCACAATGTTCTCTTGTGCCCATGGTGCCTCTGTTTTATCACTGGGCTAATTTTAATTTTCTCCCATATCTCTCACTCCAGTACGTTATGGCCGTGTGGATTTCATGACCCTGCTTATTCTCGCACCAAGAGGAATAGTGGATCAGGATTCAAGACATTCTTATTTTTTCTCGGCCCCCTTGTAGACAAAACTTCTCGAGGCAGGTTTCATATTTTGCTTGTGTACATACAGCCTGAATGTAACGAGTATGTAGTTCTGCCTATCTTAAGTATTTATTAAACAAAGAACAGATCAGCCATCCTGCCAAAATGCTAAAATAATTAACAGGCCCAGTGGCCAGGTGGCAAAAGCTCTTGCTTCATACGGTGAGGTGTCCGGGTTCGATTCCCGGCGAAGGAGTGGAAACACTGGACGAGTTTCCTTACACCGGTTGTCTATGTTCACCCAAAAGTGACCTAATTTGTCAGAAATGCTCAGCATAACAAGCGGCTTTTTACGTAGTAGTATGTCATTGATGTCAGCTAGGCATGTACTTGTAGTAAATATACTATACTGGTTGGTTGCCGCAACAGCCTGCAGTAATATTTCCTTTCTAATTTTAGGAGGCTTGGTTGAGAATGAACTGAGTGCGTGATGATCCATGGGGCCATTAACAAATACAGTATTAATAACGTTGAGCCTACCAAACACTAAAGTGGATAAGGTTGCTATCAGGGCTGACGAAAGAACAATGGCAGGATTACAGAGATGCTGAGAATAACAGTGTGCTCCTAGACAAGACAGTGAACACTAGTGATTGTGTAAAGTTGTCCCGTGAAGCTCATGCGGGTGGTTACGTCAACAATAAATTTACTTATATTCCCTAAACACCCCTACTATACTTCACCCAAGATTAGAGCGCAAAGCATACGTCGTCTAGTTTACGAGATTACTGTTGACACTGGTTATGTAGGGTTTGATCTTGTGGCAAAGGATGCCGCCTCATTCCCTTGATATCTCCTCAGTTAAGGAGACGCTTGTCTCTGAGATGTAACATATAAGTGAGTTGTCTTAGTGAAGGTGGCGCCATCCTTCACACTCACCAATCAAGTCTTCTCACTCCAAGTGAAGAACGTGTTGTTTTAACGCTCTCGTTTTATAAGACACTACTCTGTTGCCAGGCTTTTATAAAACTTGCTTATTGGCGTTTTACATAACTTGATCTACTCATAGATAATAATGTTTATATCCATATCATTTAAAAAAGTATAAAAGTATTAATATCTTACTGATGGAACTAGTGCTTGGGCTTTTACCTCAACTATTCACCTCAAAATAATTATCACCTAACAAAAGAAAGCTTTCAGAACTATTACAAATTTTACACAAAACACTATATATACTCTTGTTCAATCTTATCTCCAACCAGCATTATATAATTTTTTTTTTTTTCACAAAGAACCCGGCCTCAAGGAAAGAAACTTACGACAACGTTTCGGTTAGTCTTGCCTTTCAGCCAGGTACCTTTCAGGAACTATTTATCATACAAAGAACTGATGTAACATCCATTTTACATTTGGGAGGCTGATATCTCCAAGGAGGATAATATTTGGTGTGGGATTTTCCAGCCTTCCCAAACAACAACCTATCTACCTTATCCGATTTGCGAATTCCTCAGTCGTTGCTGACAGTGTTCACTTACCTGATTGGGTTGAATGTTATCAAGTGTATAGGTGGGCAGCAGTCGGTCGGTCTCTCTAAACTGAGTCAAAGGTTAGATTAAGCAAGATTCATAAGGAGAGGACAAATGCCTCCTGTCCCAGGTCTTACTCATGTGACCCGCCACCGGAGCTTTAGGTCATCTGCCTGCGGCCTTCCGCTGGCTTACCAGTTTACCCCTATAAAAATTGAAGATAATGGTTAAGAATGGTAAAAATGGGCTGTGGTACTCAC